TTTAATGGTAGTGTGAAAAATTTGCCGGGAATCAGAAATTCGGGCAAATTTGCCCCGAATACGGATTAAGGGATACTTTGAATTCATGCTCAAATTGAATGCTCATATACTACTTATTTAGACTGTACAATCGCAATTGTAATTGAGTAGTTATAAAAAAAAATCGAAAACTGGTTGTATCAGTTGTATCCAGAAGTTTAAAATAAGTAATTTAATTATTTTCATTTTTATTATTAATTTTTTAAAAGATTTATGCTTGTCAAGCAACATCCATTATATAACTGTAAAAAATAAATCTATGCTCGTTCAATAAAATTCCTATCATGGAATACTTCGCTGCGCTTTGAACAATAATATAGCAACATTTTTGATAATATGGTTTGCTCTCAAAGATTTGATTACTCGCTGGTTGGGTATATATAAATTAATTTCTTGTAGATATTTAAAAAAACTATTCGAACTATTAATAATTATATTCAAATCACAAAAAGATTTTGTTATTTTATTGGAAAATCTGAACAGTTGCAAAATTATTTATTTACTCCCATCTATTATAAAATTTTTGTCGCAAAGTTTTAATAGCAGCGAAAACATTTGTTAAGTATATAAAATTCAATAAATAAAGTCAAACATGTATTAATTTAAATTATAGAATTTATATAATGAATTATCATAAAATTTAGAACACATAAAAATCATCTATTCTATATGAACTTCTGGTGTTACAGCATAAAACCATTTACATATTACTTGATATGTATTAGAACCAAAATTTTGAAAATTTTTATTATCGGTACAATATAGTGTAAGTACTCTAACAACATTTAAAATTTTTAATGATCTTGAAAATTTTGAATATGAATTATTTAAACATAGCGATTCTTAAATTAATAAAACTAATAAAAACCACCTAAGAAGTATCTTCTGCAGCATTTCGATAACACGCAAATGCTTTTTCTTCGTCGATTTCTGTTCCTATTCCTAAATTATAACAATCACCAAGTCTATTATATGCTTTGGTGTATCCATTCTCAATTGATATTTTATATAATTCAAAAGCTAATTTCTCGTTCTTTTCGGTTCCTATGCCATTTTCATAACAAGATGCAAGATTATGTTGCCCTACGGGTAATCCTTTCTCGGCAGCTTTTTTATAATACATGAACGCTTTTTCTCTATCCTTTTCGACACCATTACCTGTATCATAACAGTATCCAAGATTATTATACCCAGCAATATCTTCTTTTTCAGCCGAACTTTGAAAAAAATTAAAAGCTTTTTCATAATTTTTTTCAATCCATCTTCCATTACTATAACAATGACCTAGAAAACATTGAACTAACGGATTTTCTTGATTATTTAAGCACCAACTAATAATAATTTCCGGCTTTTGCTGTTTTTTCTTGAAAAATTGATCCATTAAATCATAAATTGTCAAGATATATTTTCCTTTCATTCTCTCTTCATTATATAAATCGCATAGTTCTTTTACAATTTGTCTAAAAAAATCATGTGAATAGTTACTGTCTTTAGAATCTAAATCATCTAAATCATATAACTCATCTAAATCAACTAAATCGAGGTTATTATTTTCCATTTTCAACTTCTTATCATTATGTGTTAAATGATCAGAATCATTGTAGCTGGTAGTTGGAAAATTATTATCAGAAAATAAATTATTTTTTATAAAATTATTTTCATTATGTATTGATTCTGCTTTCAATTGTTCAAAAGAGAGAACAACTTCTTGAATGTTGGGACGTTTTATTTGATCTTTCTGCCAACAATCTAACAGCATAAAATATATAAAAAATTTTTTTAAATTAACTAATTAAATCATACAAACAATTTCAATTTTCTTGTAAATATGATCATGTAGCATACCATTATATAGAACTGCATATAGTATTGGCGTTCCTTCAATAAATTTTTCTCTGACACCATCTAAGATATCGACCATTAATTCAGAAAGTTTGTCTGTTCCATTAATTGCTTTAAATGGCGGATAACCACTAGAAATCTCCCATAAAAGTACGCCTAAACTATATATATCAGACTTTTTGTTTACTTTGCATGGTTCTTTATTTAGAAAGCATTGAGGATCTATATATGGTAAAACTTTTGGAAGCTTATTAAACAAGTTGAATGTATCAAATAATCGTCCTGAAAGTCCAAAATCTGCAATTTTAATGTTATCTCTGTGTATCAAAATATTATTTGAATGCTATATGTAATCGTTAATGTTATAAAAAGAACAAAAGATGAATTAGATTATGTTATGAAAATGAAAAATGAATCATAAATAACAAATTATAAATCTTTTAAAATAGTTTAATTACAAGATTTCCATGTACGATTTCTTTTTCATGCATAAACTTGACACCATTAATAAGTTGCTGTGCTAAATTTAATTTACGTTCCCAATTTAGCTTACTAAAAGTGTTTCGTAAATAAGTTGTAATCGTTCCATCACCGGCATACTCAAGAACTAATAAGTATTGAGGTCCTAAAAATTTACAGAATAATTTGAGTACATTTTTACAACTCTAAGATCAAATTTCAAAGATATAAATAAACATTAATCAAATCATTATATGCAAATATGTCTAAATTCAGAAAAAATGAGAAGACAATCAAAATACTGTTCCACATCACACTTCAATACCTTTTGTCACCTTTTGCTGATAGTTATATTCTCTCAAGTCTATAAACATAATAATAACCAAGATGAAGACCTTACTGTACCTTCTTTCTTAGTAATGCCGTAAAATTTTATGATATTTTCATGTATGATATCTTTATATAAATTAATCTTTAGCATACATATTAATAATGTTAGAATATAGATAACATAAATAAAAATTAAGAGTATTATATTTAAGATACCTCATTTAAAATTTCTTTGGCAGTAATCATATCGATATTTTCAAATGATTTCAAGGCGACACCAATGTCAGACATTTCCGCAACGGCATGATATGTGCTTCCAAGCGTTCCAGAACCAATTAAACGAATATTTCTAAATACACAATAATCGATATATTTATCTATCACCGACGCTTCTTTTAGCAATTCATTAAATGGAACATCTGCTTTAGGGGATAAATCTTTAAAGGTCATGTTTCTGCTTTAGAAAGAGAAATTGTGTATAAAAGTTGAAAATTTTTTCATTTGGCATTTTATATGTTTACGTAATTGCAAATCTTTGTTTGTGTAATGTAACTTACGGTATGTGTGCACGGTATTCCTAGCCTCAAATTAGATGTAAATCCTCTAAAATCTGCATTTTTTTCATGAAGAAAGAGATTCTTTTTCTTTTAATTGTGAAATGGCTTTAATTAAATCTTAATCATTAATAATTCAGTTTAATATTTTAATAGTGTTAAAATTCTGCACTTAAAATCTAAGTGCATCAGGTATGATTACATACTCCTGTATTCGGTAACTACGTACCGTATAACCAATGTAAACTTAATTAAATTCAAATACAAAAATAGTTTAATTTATTACAAAAAATGTAGGACAACTAAGAGAAAAATTGGGATTGCTATGTAACAAGTAACTTTATTAATGATCATAGTGCAACTTGCCATTATTGTTCAAAACATTGGAGTTATGGCCGTCATGCAAAAATTGATTCTGATTAAATTGTTAGAAACAAGCGAACAAAGGGCTCGAATTAAAAACAATGATTTACTACTTAAAAACACGGATTATAATACGGAAGATTTAATAAATATAATATTTGAAATTATCAGTGAATATGATTTATAATTAGATTATGATAATAAAAATGAATTTATATTGATTGATGTAAGCAATGTTAATAACCATATATAGTATATAATGCAAAAAAATTATTTTCTGATTTTTGCGATAAATCTTGCAATTAAATACGTTAAAATATACTTGATTCTATAATACAAAGTTATTTTAATTAAATCTACATCGCTAAGTACTGTATCGCTCGAAATAATGTGGACGTCCAGGAGAAACATCATGATATAGATGATATAGACAACCATTTAATGACCATGTCGACATTAAAATATTCCTATTAAGTAGATCGAGAGTTATATAAGTTTTTTAAAGGATTTTGCTACAGCAAAAGTTGTATATCAATATTACAATTGGAAGGCATACATCTAGTGACTAGACTTTACCAAAATCATAACCCAAATTTATCTGGGTTAACAAATATAACCAATCAGAAAAAAGATATAAGTCAAAAGAAAAGTATTAAAGTTGATACATAAGTGTATAACTTATTGTTAAAATAGTCTTTACTACTTCAAGATTATTAAACAATCAACTTAAACTATATCACAACAAACTATATCACAAGGAGAAACAAAGATAGAGTAAATTTATAAAAAGTAAATCGTCAGGCTTATTCCTTTTGAAATAAATTATAATTGTCGATTACACTAAGAATGAAAACTTTGCAAAAGTACGGAATTTAACAAAAAGAATGCCCGTCATAATAGGGATGGAAAATGTTTTTATTACGTAATTAAAAACAGGTGATGATTATGTTTTTAATTTGTTTAAAAACAAATTTATTATTCGGAGATTAGTAGCAAAATTTTTGAGCATAGTATCGCAAATACTGTAGATACGAATTATGAAAAGTTAATTCATATCTAACAGAACAAGTTTCCCAAAAGTATTTTAAAACATATCCGGCAATTGGTTTACATTAGTCTATTAGATCCAGGTTTCTCCTCTGCATAACTCGTATAATGTTGACTATCGTTCTTATTCATTTGATTTGAAAGGAAGTGTGGCGGATCACGATTATCGAAGAAATCAACAAAGCAAAGATCAGTGGTTAATTCTGCAAAAATTTTGTATAGGGTTAACATCAAGGTTTTGTGTACCTCGAATTTTTAATTTCTGTCTAAAAAGTGTGTAACATCCACATTATGTGCAATCCTATTGGCTGATAGTAGCAATTTATTAATGAATTATAATTTTTTTAAAATTTGAGCGTAGCTTTCTTAGTCACCACTTTATTATGTGAAAATTTTTTATCTAAATTCTACATGTATTGGAATTCTGATAAGCTTTTTTATCGAAATTTGATAAGTAGTTATTGGAAAACTTTGCCCAAAGTCAAAGAAAATCTTTCCGTTTATAATTTTTTAGTTTACTTGACAATCACCTAACTAATTTGTATAAAGGATTACAATAGGGTTACACGAGTGTGATTTTTCGCTTTTCATTACGTGGCATTCGGAATTTCGATTGAGCGGTCAGATTTTTTTTTTATTAATCTAAATTAATAAACTGAATATTCATGAAGCTAAAGTTCTTAATTTTAAGGCTTTCTTGAAAAAGCATTTTGCTTATTTAGGTGATTTCAAGTTCTTTAATTAACTTACGAATCAGTTGAATCATAAGTGATCATAAAATGGGTAGCTTTATCATAAACCCGGGTTTTATACCTATAATCTACCAATCATATTTAAGCATATGATATATAATTATTAAAATTTTTAAAAACTTTGAATGAAGGTATTTCGGCAACCAACTATTCAAACTTAATAAACTTTTTTTTTTATTTTGATTCTATAGTTGTATCAAATCAAATAAAAAAAGTTCATCGAATTTGGATAGGTTGTCTCTGAGATATCTTTGCCCAAATTTTTGAACAATTCAAACCGTCTATCAAAATAACAGTTATAACAATTTTTTCAAAAATTTGAACGATGATGTTTTGGAAACTACCTATTTAAATTCAATGAACTTTTTTTTTTTTGATTCTACAGTTCTTTAGAATCAAAATAAAAAAAAGTTCATCGAATTTAGATAGGTGGCTGTCGAGATATCTTCGTCCAAATTTTTGAAAAAAATTGTTGATAGTTTCAAAACTTTGGCGAAGGTATCTCAGAAACCACCTATCCAAATTCGATGAACTTTTTTTTATGTTGATTTTATAATTATGTAGAATCAAAATAAAAAAAAAACGTTTATCAAATCAAAATAAAAAAAAACGGTTATCAAATTAAAATAGATATCTTTTCTCAAAATTTGGAATAATTCAAACCGTCTATCAAAATAGCAGCTGCGACAAATTTTTTTCAAAACTTTGAACAAAGATATCTCGGTAATCACCTACTTAAATTCGATGAGCCTTTT